CTTTTTTATTTTTTTATTTATTTTTATTTTTTAAAAATATTTATTTATTTTTATTTATTACATTTATTTATTGTGTGTTTGTGGCCAGCTCAGCCCACCAGGGGGCGGGGCTGGCTGGCATGTGGTGCTGGGGATCGAACCGCGGTCCCTGTGCTTTGCCAAGCTTGTTTCAAGTAGGTGCTTTAGACCACTGAGCCATCTCTCCAGCCCAGTAAGCCTTTTTTAAATGAAGAAAAATTGAGAAAAATGAAGTGGTGCTGTACTTGTCTGTAGCTGAAAAGATTATATCCATTTTTTTCTCCTTTGCAGGATATAAGCTTTCAAAATACCACTATTTAATTAGAAAAAGAAGTAAACTTCATGTTAATGTAGTCTTGTCTGCTAAAGCTTTTTGCTTAAAAAATTTAGCTTCATTTACAAGTTCTATACTTTATAGTTAATAAATGGATTTATAATTAAGTGACATAGTTAAATGGAATATATGTATTTAGAAATGCAATAAGAGCAGACTCAAAATGAGATTGGAACTCAACTGTCAATTTAAGTCAAATATTATCCTTAGCTTTCCCCTCACTATTATAGTCTTTTTTCTTTATAATTGCACTTTAATGGTGATTACTTTAGGATGAGTCTCTCTTTTTTTTTTTTTTTTTTTTGCGGAACCGGGGATTGAACTCATGCCCTTGCACTTGCCAGGGAAGCGCTTACTCCACTGAGCCATCTCCCCGGCCCTTTAGGCTGAGTCTCTTTTCAGTCCTCCGTGGAAGAGACTGGAAGAAAACATCCTGACAGTTGCTAAAAGGTTGGCCAAGCCAAACCTGAATATTGATCTCACAATCAGTGGAAAAATAACTTCCCCAGGACTGGTTGGTATTATTTCTGGGAAATCTTTTCAAAATTATTTAGATTAATTAGAAACTTTTTTTTTTTTTTCTGGAAATGTCTTTGAAACAAACACCCATACTTCATACATATACATTCAAAGGCTAGCTTTAACTGTGCCCACCAACTGTATGTCAGACCCTTGGAGGCCTGAGCAGGTGCTGAGGCCCAAGCACCTGCTGATGAGTGTTAGTGGCCTGGGGGAAGTGTGTCCTCATGCTTGAGCTGCACTGGTGCTCTTGGGTCACTGTCTACTGCTTCTTCATCAGCTTCCCCATTCCCAGGGCTCAGGGGACAATGAGCAGTGATGAGTAGCTTCTTTCTGCTCATCCCTGCCACGACATCATCTGATCTACAGAATCCTCAACCCATAATACACATAATGTCAGCTTAGGGGAGTGATGTCCTGGGCCGGCCCTACCTTTATCTTGGCCTTTGTCTGTTCAGCCTCATGCATTCCGAGTAGTGAGGTGGTAGTTTGTTTTGTTTTTTGAGATAGGGTTTCATTAAGCAGTTTAAGCTGGACTTGAACTCACGTAGCTCAGCCTGGCCTTGAACTTGCAGCCTCTTACTAAGGCCTTTGTGAGCTTCCCTAATAGTGCCTTAGAAGAGTGTGTGGGTGGTGAGTGGTGTAGCTGAGTCTAGGGAACTCTAAACCAGAACTCTATTTTTAGTTGTGTGGTGGCTTATAATTTTAGCTATTGTAGTTTATTCTGTTTATCCGATGCTGTGGTTGTGAATGTTGCCCTTAGACTATAGTTAGTGACCTAACTAGGTTTTAATTGTGAGGAAATCTCAGATCATATGAAAAGAATTTTGGTTAAAGCTGGGAATTTTCCATTCTTGCTTTCCTGAAAATTGGCATCAGTGACCACTAACTGACAGAATGCTTTGAAAATACGCTCTTTAAAGTCTAGCTGTTATTAAATGGCATAATAACTAGTATGTAAGGGATAGTTGCTTTTTTTTGTTGTTGTTGAAACTCTTTGGTAGGACAAAATTGTCAACAAATCCTTAAAAGTGTGGTATGAAAGCATAATTGCTGCACAGAAGATTTTAAAAATAGAATGCAGATCAGAATTTTAAATACATATGTTTGACATTTATTGGACTTTTCAGGTAAGGTCCTGAAAAAGTATGATTTATTTTGATGAAGTATAGATTTATTTTTTAAATGGTCATTTGTATATATCTATGGTTTATAACTAATTTCTCTTTAAAAAAAAAAGCAATATAATGTCAAACCCTATTTTAATGCAGTATAAAGCTTGCAAATTTGAAGTCTCCGATGTCAGGAAACAAACAGTGAATGCACTAATTTCTAAATTACTATCTAGGCTTGTAAATGTATATGTTGTTCATACAGCAGAGCATTACAGAGTAATCTGTACTGTTGGTGTTTCCTGAGCGTTTGCCATTGTTTAGTACTGTTTGTCTCTGCGTTTACTCAGTATTACCATGTGCTGTAATTGCTAGACCAGAGTAGAGCATCCAGCAAGCAGAGACTTCCAAGTTGAAGCCAAAATAAACAGTGGGAAATGAAGCTGCCGTAAAATTTTGTGGACAGTAGTTGCAAAGTGCTTTTGAGAGCTGTACGTAGTGAGAAAAGTAGGTCACACTCATTGGTTTTTAGTGAATGTGCTGCTGAAGCGAGCACAGCACACTCATTTTTTATAAACCAACATTTTGTAAGTTTACCTTACTTAATGATAAAAGTAAATTTATAAGTGATCTGAAAATAATTTTAAAATAACAGTTTAAATAATTAATATTTTTCTTGTATCGGATACTGAACTTAGGGCCTTTGGAGTAGGCCACACCTCCCTCGGCCCTGTTTTTAAAAAAATTTTAATTTTGAGACAGTCTTTCTGAGTTGGTCGGGCCAGGCTTGAACTTGTGATCATCTTGCCTCAGCCATGTAGAATGTTGGGATTGAAGTTATGTACCATTATGCCTGGCAACAATTTTGAATTTGTTTCTATTTTATGTAAATGATGAAAACTTTTATCCCCTTCTCCTGCTATCTTAGTTACTTTTCTCTCATTGCTGAGACAAAATACTCAACACCCAAGGTTAAGGAAGGAAAGGTTTATTTAGCTCACTGTTGGTAGCAGGTTCAGTCCATAATCAGCTGGCTCCAGGTCAGGGTGGCATGGCACAGGAACAGCCGTTCATGGGGACAGAAAATGCAACAAGAGCAAAAGAGAGGAGCAAGCCTCTTTTCCTCCCTTACATTGTATGCAGGCTGCCCACCCTAGAGTGAGTGTAGCATTCATACCCCAATCCCAGCACTAGACAGTAAACCAGTCACAAACTCTTTAAGATTCTGAAAAGCCCATCCCCTGTGGCCACATGAGGGTTTTCTAGACACAAACCATAACACCCACTGCTGAGGACTGAGCCCAGTGCCTTTGTACTGAACTATATCTTAAGCCTTTATTTGGAGACATGGTCTCACTGAATCACTAAATTGCCCAGGCTGGGTTTGAACTTGCCATCCTCTTGCCTTAGCTTCTCAGAATGCTGGGATATCAGGTGTGTGTGCTTGATTTAAACTTTATACATTTTTTTTTTAATTTTATTTTTTCTGTATTTTAGGGATAGTCTACAGGGTGTTCAGGGTCTTACTACTAGATTGGATTTGTAGTGATTCTCCTGTTTACAGCCTCCCAAGTGCAGGGATTATAGGTTTGCACCACCACGCCCAATCTCAATCACCATCTCTGTGGGCCCCAGGGGTGGGGTCAGCACAGCAGGCCAGGGGATTGAACCCTAGGCCCCTGTGCCTGGCAGGTAGTTTAATCCACTGAGCTATTTGGCCGGCCCTAAACTTTATACATTTTTGAGCAATTGTTCTAGAAGGGCCTGTATGACTAAGAGACAGATGAATAATGGTATGGTTTTTAATTTTTTAATGTATTTTTTATATATTTTTTAATAATTTTATTGATAAATAGCAATGAGACAGTTTCAAATCAAATTGGTGGGACAGTTTCAATAATTAACACATTGCATACATTCTTCCTAGTATGGTTTTTGTTATTCAACTTTATATCTAACTTCACTCAGCAAATACTTAATTTCTTTTCTTTTCTTTTATTGACTAAGAATAAGTTTAACCAACAATTTTTGGCAAAAGAAAATGAGTGAAAAAATGTCTAGCTTCTGCAGTCCAAAGTAATAAAATTTACTATATCCTGAGTAATCATTGTTTTAGTAATCAAATGAGTTGGCTTTTATAAAATGAGCCATTGAAACACCCCTTTTCCCTCCCCTCCCCTACTCTTATCTTACCCCACACTCTGCTGTATCTCTACCTGACCCCACCCCTTTACAATATATTTCCAGCTTTTTTGTTTTGTTTTATTTGGGGGCCTTGCTAAGTTGTCTAGCCTGGGTTCAAATTTGAGATCTGTCTGCTTTAGCCTGCTTACATTTTGGGAATCCTAGTGTGTGCCACCACGCCCAGCTGCTGAAGTACTACTATAAAAAGGCAGGAGATTGAGGCAGTAGGATCCCAAGTTCAAGACTAGCTTGGGCAACACAGTGAGATGCTGTCTCGAACCAAAACAAAGAGCTAGGGATGTGACTTGGTGTGAAGACTCAGGGTTTAATAGCCATTACAAATGAATGAAAGTGTGGCTGCCTACAGTCTTAACATTACAATTAATGATAATATTTAATTTATCAAATATTTATTGTATATGTAATAGGATGAAAACCCACTGAGTGACTCTTAAGAATTTGAGATAATTGTTGTAACTAAGCATTTGATATGCTTTTTAATACATAGATTATACTTTTAGTTTTAAAATATTTTATAAATATATATTTGCAGTGGGGGCCAGGGAGATGGCTCAGTAGGATAAGCGCTTGACTGGCAAACACAAGGATCTGAGTTCAATCCCAGTTCCGTCAAAAAAAAATTAAAAAAAAAAAAATACATGTTTGCAGTGCATAGTGAGTACATTCATTATGGGGAGTTGGTAAACATGTGCAACACATTTTAATGTTTATGTCCCCTTTCCCTCCCCTCCCTCAGTATACTTTAGAGTGTCCTAATATTAGCGACTAAACCATTTGTAAATGGATCATACAATTCTTTTTGTTTTTTTCCACATCAGACAGGGTAATGTGACAACACTGTAACAAGGTTTGAGGGAGGCACGTTTCATGCACCTGGCATGAATGAACACCCAATCATCACTGAATTGAAGGCTCTCATGCAGTTCTTTCTTTTGAATTAATAAAAGTGAACATGTAAATTCATGTGGAGGGAGAAGCCTCTCGTTATTTAGAATTACGTCTTAGGGGGCCAGAGAGATAGCTCAGAGGCATAAGCATCTGCCTGGCAAGTGCAAGGTCCTGAGTTTGATTCCTGGTACCAAAAAAAAAATCTCACAAGTTAGAATTGTGTCTAAGACTGTATTGTTTTTTCATTCCGTCCAATAAAAAGCAGCAGTCCTATACCATAGCATCCTATGTGACTTAGCTTAACTGTAACCTTATTCCCTGAGCTAACACATTCTTGTAAGTCTTTAGTGATAATAATGCCCTCATAATACCTTTCATGGACATTTATATCTATTGTCTTGTACCTCCTTGACTGGTTTGTCTATCAAGCCTTTGTCTTAGGTACTTTCTTGTCACTGGGACACAATGCTGGACACTGACAAATTAAAGGAGAGGTTTATTTTGGCTCACAGGTTGTAGACATCTCAGTGCACAGTTGGCTGGCTGTAAGGCAGGGTGGCCTGGCAGGGAAGAGTTGCTCATGGCATGGCAGAGTGTGATCATAGGAGGAGGAGGGAGTCAGACCCTTCCAGGCCACACTTGTGACCCACCTCTCCCAGCCAGGCTTCATCCCCCAGTGTCACTTTCAGCTATAAACTCACTGAGCACATCACACCCTCATGATCCAGGTACCTCTCAAAAGCCCCATGTAGGCGTGCATGAGGCTGGGGGGATCATCTAGATAGAAACTGTAACAACCATTAAGAAGTGTCTATACACACACAGTCCTGCCCTGTATTATAATGCTTCAGCCAACCATAGCTTATTTGAGTGACTTGATCCCAGACACTTAGTGACATTGCATCCATTTTAGTTTGTGTATCTACACTCTATGGTGTTCCCACACCAACAAAATCACCTAACATCTCATTTCTCAGAATTATCCTTCTTAAATCATGCATCACTTAGTAATGGAAGTAAAGTCTAAGAAAAGTGTTAAGAGACCTTGCTGATCAAACACCATATAGTGTGCTTCTATAAAGCCAGGTGGTGTACGTAGTGTGTCAGTCACTCTGGTGGCCTCCTGGTGTGATCAAGGCACTCAGTAAACATGAGGTGTGTGAGGTTGCTGCCAGGGCAGCATGTCAACCCACCATTTTGGGTTTTTAAAAGTTGATTAGTTTTTCTGGTTTTTGAGGCAGGGTCTCACTATATGTGCAGTTCAGGCTGACATAGAAATTGTCGTGTAGCTCAGGCAGGCCTTGCACGTAGGATTTTCCTGCCTCAGTTTCTAAAGCGCTGAGATTATGGTATACACCACCGTATTCACCTAGTACAGTGGTACCTGCCCTAAAGTTCATAAACTTAATTGGCGTTACAATTTCGAGGAAGATGGCTGCCTTTGTTTGTGTGGGGAAGATGCTGTGGCCATGTTTGTCTCTCATGCAGTTTGCAAAGGGAAGCAAAATTGTGCTGAATCCTTTTGAGAATTGAATTGTTTGCATACAGAAGCATTCATAAATCAAGGGAATTACTGTATACTGTTTTAGAATACCTCCATAATTAAAAGTATATGCTAACATAACAAAGTATAGTAAATACATAAATCATTAACAGGCGTTTGTTCTCACTATGAAGTGTGAGCTGTTTATAATTTTATGTGCTGTATTTAACATGCTTGGCAGCATGATGAGGCTATTTATATCAGTATCACCATAAACACATAATACATTGTGCTATGACACTGTGACAGTTGCAGTGTGACTAGGCAATGAGAAGTTTTAGCTGTGTTATAATCTAATAGGACCACCACTTAAACTGCGATTCATCATTGACATAAATATCATTGTACAGTGCTCTATAATATGAAACAGATTTGAGGTTATTTAAGATAAGTATCTTCAGGATAGCAAAGAGGTGATTGATAGCTTTTATCCTGATACGTTTCAGGCTTTGTGGTAGGCAGTTTAGGCACAGTCTCTTTTAATCATGAGGACAGTACTGCATTCCCATTATACAAATGAGACTTCTCATTGCAAGAAAAGGCAGGAAATGGATGTTGGGGTGTGGTGAGGAGAGACCATGATGCTCTTACGTGTGAGGCAAGTGCTCTGTCGCTGAGTTACAGCCTCAGACTCTCAATTTAGAGATGTTGATTTTTATTTATGTATTTATTTTTGGTGCCGGGAATTAAACTCAGGACCTTGTGCTTTCCTGGCAGGCACTTATGCCACTGAGCTATATCCCTAGCAGATGTTGACTTTTAAACAATAGAGATTTTTATAGAAGGTGGGTAGAGCCAACAGTGGTAAGATATTTTGTTTTTTTTTTTTTTGTCTGTGTGTGTACGTGTTTGATTTTATCTTTGTGTGTGTGTCTGTGTGTGTGGTACCGGTGATGGAACTCAGGACCTTGTGCTTGCCAGGCAAGTTGATTTTGTCTTGAATCATTGAGATTTTTTTCCTCTACCACTGGGGATTGAACTTGGGGCCTTTGTGCTGTGTACATTCTCAGCTTTTTGTTTTTTTTAGAGGGTCTCACTTAGTTACCCAGGCTGGCTATGAGTTTGAGTCCTCCAGCCTTAGCCTCCCAAATAGCTAGGGTTACAGGTGTTCACTGTCATACCTTGTGAGTCATACAGACAGACATTTCTTCCTTTTTTTTTTTTTTTTTGCGGGACAAGGGATTGAACTCAGGACCTTGCACTTGCCAGGCAAGCACTTATTCCACTGAGCTATCTCCCCAGCCCATGTTAGATATTTCTTTGAACAATATTAATATTTAAGCTTTTGATTATATTCATGAAAGAGTATAGTGAGATATTAATGTTTTAATAGTTAAATTTTGAAATGATTTAATGATGTGTAAACATTATGGCTATGGAAGGTAAGGGTGCTTACTAACAAGCAAATAATTATTTGAAATCTCTCTGGTATTTTCCTTTACTATTTAATGTACAACAAAATTTTTTGTTCATTAGGCTGGGTATGGTGGTGCATGCATATAATCCCAGCACTCAGGAGGTTGAGGCAGGAGGGTTGCTGCAAGTTGGAGGCCAGCCTGAACTACATAGTGAAACCCTATTTCAAAAAGACAAAACCCCTCAAATAACTTTGTTTCTATAGATAAATTAGAATATAGAGATTAATTAACAAAGAAAAATTAATTAACAAAGAAAAATGCCCTACTAGTGAGTTGAATAAATTCTGATTTTTTTCCCCCTGTGTTGTTTCTTTCAGAAATATGGCTATACACACCTTTCTGCAGGAGAACTTCTTCGTGATGAAAGGAATAACCCAGAGTCACAGTATGGTGAACTCATTGGAAAGTACATTAAAGAAGGAAAGATTGTGCCAGTTGAGATAACTATCAGTTTATTAAAGAGGGTAAGGAGTATGAATGTCAGCCAGTTCAGACCTTAAGAAAACAAGAAATTAAGTCCATTTTTCATTTGAGTAATGAAAATTTTGATTGTTGAATTTCTTACACATGGAAGGTAGTCAGAGTGTTAGAGAACGACAGAACCAGAAACTCTGCTCTCATCTGGGAAGAAGCTGACCAGTAGCCAGGATTCTCCGCCTTGCTCTAGGATCAGCTGTAGTTTAATCGAACATTTGTGTATGTGCTCTTAACCCTTCACTCCCAGTGTGCAGGTAGTTGATTTTCCTTCCATTTCTGTTTATTCTTCTTCTCCTGCCTGTCAGTCCTCACCCCCTCTTACTGCTTCCTTTTTTTTGGTATTGGAAATTGAACTCAGGAACTTGTGCTTGCCAGGCAGACACTGTGCTGCTGAGCTATATCTCTAGCCCTGTTGCCTTTCTTATAAATCTTCTGTTTCTTTTTTCTCTCTTTATTTCACTTACAGCCTTCTCATTATTATTCTTTCAGTCTTTCCTGGCACAAGCATCACCATCATCCGTGTGTAATATTGGGATTTGGTAGCTGTCAGAATAGAATTACTCCATCTGAAAACATACACTTGGCATTTACTTGGTAACTCTTTGCTGAAGACCCCTAGAATGTGGTCATTAATAGGTCTTTTGACATAAACAGTAAGGGACAAATACAGTGTTAGGAACAACAACCAAAATAATAGCCGAAGCCTAATGGGGAGAAAAACACAAAGACATCTGAGTGGAGCCAAACACACTTAAGGATGAAGAAGGGCCAGGAACACACCATCTTAACTTTCTCTGGGAGACTGGAGAAACCTGCTTCCATACCAGAATGAATCCTTTCTCCCTATTCCCTGGATGAAATGCTCTTTCTCTTAGTTATAGCTGAGTGGGGCTAGGGAGATAGCTTAGTGGCTTAAGCGCCTGCCTCGCTAAGCGCAAGGTGCTGAGTTCAATCCCTGGTAAAAAAACAAAAAAAGAAATCAAAGTTATAGCTGAGTGTTATAAAAGTCTGTTTCAGCCCTTTGCAGTGAGGTACTGTTTGCATCTCCAGCAAAACTGTTTCTGTGTGTTGCTGGTCATCTTCTCTGTCAAGTCTAGGGGATACTGTTTGTCATTATTTTCTTCTAGCATTTACCTCTAATAACTGGCTATGTGAAACTCATTCCTTTTTTGTTCCTTATGACATCATTTCTGTTCAGCAGCTGGTATTTCTCAATCTCTGATAACTTTTGTTCTCTTGCAGGTTTCATAAATAATGCTTCTCAGGTTTTTAATCTTGGTTCTCTACAGTTCCTGTATATACCTTGCTAGATTGGTTTAACCACGCTCAAACCTTTCATTATGTTAACAGTGCTGATATTTACAGCTCTAGCACAAATCCTTGTTCTGAATTCCAACATATTTCTGACTGGAAGGCATTTAATTGGATGTCTCATATTGTCTCAAAATTAACATGTCAGAGGCTGAATGTGTCAGCTGATAGGGGATCTTCCTTTATTTTCTGACTTGGTTGTTTCTTCCAGCCACTGAATGCTACAGGAACTATGGGAACCATCCTACATTCTCTCCCTCCCCACTTTCCTAAATCCAATCAATGAAGAAACCTTTCCAGTTACCTTTCTCCATTCTGTTCTCTCCACCATCTCTTTTCTCATCAACACGCTCACTTTAACCTACTTTCTTTCCAGTTTGTGTCTCCTATTACGTTCTACATGTGTTAAGATTCAATTATATGGAATAAGCACTTCCCTGGCAAGCGCACGGGCCTGAGTTCAATCCCCGGTCCCCCCCCCCCAAAAAAAAAAAAAAGATTCAATTATAGCTGCTTAGTTTGACTGCATCAAAGCTGTATGCTCTCTCATTTTTCAGCCTTTATACCTCAGCTTGTCACCATCTTATGGACATTGATCCTTGTCTGCTTGCTATTTTATTACTCATGTAAGTCTACTGCCAGCTGGGCGTGGTGGCACACACCTGTTATACCAGCACTTGGGAAGCTGAGGCAGGAGGATATTTGAGTTTGAGACCAGCCTGGGATATACAAAATGAGCTCAAGGTCACGAGACATTATCTCAAAAACAAAACAAAAAGCTGCTGCCAACTTTCTGGTAAATCTGTCTCTGTGGTTTCTCTGGCACTTGGGCTTATTTTTTTTTTATTTTATCATAGCAGCCTTTACATCTCTTGTTTTAGAACTCTCCTTGATATTCACACATCTCTGCCTCCACTACATGGTGAGCCCTCCAAGGGCAAGAGCAGTGAACTTGCTCTTCATGTTCACTGGCAGGTGTTGAAAAAAATGTATGTTGAGTGAAAATATTTGGTGTGCCTTCTTTGTCCACTGTCATAAATGGTGTAGAAAAGCTACTAACAAAAGCCCCAAGAAGTGTTTTGTAGAAGTTTTATGAATACTGAAGAAACAGCTAAATGCTCTAATAAAGCAAACCCTTAGAAAAGTTATCAGGAGTCCTGGTAGCCATGTTCATCTTGAAGAACCAGGAAAGTCTGAGCATGGAGGATGATGACTGTTGGTTTGCTTTGAGCTAGAGGTACCTGTAAGGTCCGTCAAAGCCAGGCATCTCTGCTCATCCTGAGTGGAAGTGGCAAGGATTTGGAGATTAGGAATTTGTACCTCACATTCCTGCATTCCATCTCAGTGCAGCTTTGGGATGAGGATATCAGATTATATTGGTCTTTATTTCTGATGCAATGTTTTTGTTTTTTGTTTTTGTTTACCATGGACTATATTTTAGAGCAGTCAGTGACATTTAGACTACTTAGCCTCAGTTTAAAAAAAAAAGTTTTAGGGGGCCTGGCCCTAGCTCAGTCCTTTAAGTGGCTGCTTGCACAAAGCTGTCAGCCTCAGGTTGCTGGAGTTCGAACCTCACAACTCTCCCGCTGGCCAAAAGTGCCCTGAAGGCATTCGAGGAACAAAAAAAAAAAAAACAAAAAAAAAAGTTTTATACTAATAATATTAACACTGTTTTTATATCTGTCCAAAGTTTTTTTTTCTTTTTAAGACAGGGTCTCACTATGCAGTTTAGGCTGGCTTTGAACTCACTTTGTAGTCCAGGCTGGTCTCAAACTGGCAACAATCTTCCTGCCCCAGGCTCATGAAGCTTTTTTGTTTTACTTTTGTTTGTTTATTTTTTGAGACAGAGCCTCACTGTGTAGTTCAGGTTGGCTTTGAACTCACTTTGTAGCTCAGGCTGGCCTCAGCCTCATGGTGATCACCCTGCCTCAGCACCTGAGTATTGGGATACAGGGCTACACCACCAAACCTTTGGTGAACCAAAGGTTTTTGCTGTTGCACTTGGATGATAGCAAAGATGAACACTGATGGAAGTAGCATACTTTTTGCTTTTTTTTTTTTTTTTTTTAAAGCCAGCTACGTATTTATTTGCAATAGCATACTTTTTACTGTAGCAGAATGACTTGGGGAAAAGCAAAGGGAAGGCAAGACCATCTCTTTTTGCTCATGCAAAGATCTATGTTAATGATGAGTTTCCTCTTATTGCTGCTTTTATTACTTATTTACAACTTTGTGGATTTATATATGAAAGTAATATGTGCTTGAACCAGTTCATTTGTCAGCTTACCTGAACTGAGAGACTTCTGGAGAAGTGATGGATTAGAGGCCACTGTACTCATCACTAGATTAAACCACTGATGTTCAAGGCTGAATGTGCTGTTGGGAGGTGGGGCCCATTTGGAGGAGTCAGGTCACAGCGGGTGTTTGGAAGGTGTGTCTCCCTCTGGCCCTCTTCCCTGTACTCTGCTTCCTGAGAGCAGATCTGCTCCTCTACACCCTTCCTCCAAAACCCTGCCTTAAACCAATTTACCATGGACTATACCCTCAGAAACTGTGAGCCAAAGGAAACTTCTTCCTTTAAGTTGTGACTTTGGATACTTTGGCAACAAGAAAGCTGACCAGCGTAATACTGTATTAATTTTCTGTAACTATAATAAAATAGCTGATAACTAACATAAAGAAGAAAGATTTGTTTTGGTTCATAGGTTTGGAATTCTGGTCTGAGATGGGGTGGACCATTGCTGTGAGCCACTGGTGGGGGTGCTGAATGGTAAAGATGAGCTCATAGTGGAGGAAAGGGCTCACTTCATTGCCAGGAAAGAAGAGAAAAAAACAAAAGGGCAGCAGGATGCCCCTAGTGGCCTATGGACCTCTACATGGCCCCTCCTAAAGGTCCACAGGGCCTCCCATTAGTGCCACCCCAATGTTCAAGCCTGGCTCATAGGTAGACTTTTGGAGGACAGTCAGTATCCAAACTATAGTACTATATGCTTACTCTATAAAAATTGGGAACTGCAAGATAATTTGTGTGTGCATGTGTGTGTGTGTGTGTGTGTGTGTGTGTAAAATGAGAAGGCATATCCCCATAATGCCACTAGCTTGAGGCAACCATGTTAATACATTTTCTTCATGTATTAACATTTTTTATCCTATTTTTCATGTGCCTTATACTCTTACCTCATGGTTTAAAGAATAACAAATCAAATTGTATTCACTATCTTTCTTCATCCCTTTTGTTAATGTAGTATTGAATTTAAATCTTTTTTCTTTAGGAAATGGATCAAACAATGGCTGCCAATTCCCAGAGGAATAAATTCTTGATTGATGGGTTTCCAAGAAATCAAGACAACCTTCAAGGCTGGAACAAGACCATGGATGGGAAAGCAGATGTATCTTTTGTTCTGTTTTTTGATTGTAATAATGAGGTAATGAAAATCTTCATCTGCCCATGTGGGCTTTAAGCAACTAACAGTCAACTATTAAGGAAAATGTGATCTTGTATTTATATTTATATTTTCTGTTGACGGAAGTATGTTTGGTTGACTGGGTAGACAAAAGCTCTTGCTTACTCCTGGAATCGGCAATCTTGTGAATATAAATTTGCTGTTTTCAAAAAAAGTCAGTTTTTTAAAAATAATATGTACGGTATAGATAATGAAGATAATCTTATGTATAGTATTTTCAGGGAGTATATTGTTTATTGGAAAAGAAAGACAGGCTTTTTAAAAGCTGGATCATAACCTGGTTTATCTTCTAAGAATAAGATAATCTTGAAAAAAAAGCAAGGAAGAGTGCACACCTGTAAGCCCAGCCTTGGCAATTTTGTGACTCAGTGATACCTTGTCTCAAAAAAGCCTGTGGATGTAGCTCTGTGGGAAGACCCTGGGGTTGGGGCCAGGCTTGACAATTTTTGTTTTGGTTTGCTTTTTTCTTTTTTTTGGCGGAACCAGGGATTGAACTCAGGCCCTTGTGCTTTCCAGGGAAGCACTTATTCTACTGAGCCATCTCCCCAGCCCCTGGCTTGCTTTTTTCTAATATTTCTCATAACATACCCAAATACACCTTTGAATAACTATGTAAATTTCTCAGAATCATTTAATTAAAAGGCTTGTGTTTGACAGCTGCTGTGATATAAATGTCATTCAGTTAATGCCAGCAGCCTGAAAGAATAAGAATCTGCAGTAGTGCCTTGAAGGAAGTCAGCCACTCTTAGGCCAAGTGACAAATGTGCCTGCCTTTGGTACAGAGTCCCTCTATAGGTTCTGAGTTGTTTTAAAAATGTAGCTCTCTTGTTCCAACCCTCAAAATATGTTTTCACTTATTCTTAAAGTTAGCTTTAAGATGTTACCACAGCTTTATAACTAAGGAATGTTTATTCATGATTAACAAGAAATGCTTTATTCAAATGTGTTGACTCTTAAATATCTGGATATTTATGGAATTATTGTAAAGTAAGCAAAAATGGAATAAAGTTTGAGGCATGTAATTCATACCTAATAAGTTAATAATATATCCAGGATGGAGCCATACACATACAAATCTTTTTATTGCGGTTTGAAAAAAATACACTCAGGAAAAACTGAGTCATGAATGAATTCTTATTATGCTCTCTGCTTAACCTAGTTTATATAAATTGAACCACATGTTTAAATTTTAAAAGACTCCATGTTGATTAATGAATTAGACACATTGGATTTAATGCAGGATTTTTTCTTTTAGAAGCCTCTTCAAACTTTATTTTCAGATTATAAAAATGGCAAGTTCATATTCTCTGCTTTTAAAATAACTTTAAAATAAATCTCTTTTTAGATCTGTATTGAACGATGTCTTGAAAGGGGAAAAAGTAGTGGTAGAAGTGATGACAACAGAGAGAGCCTGGAGAAGAGGTACTTTCAATTTTTGCATTTAATCATTCTAATCCCAGTGTGGATTTGACTGACGCTAAGTCCTTGCTCCATGTGGCCCAGAGAAGAGCATGCTGTGCTCATCCAGCTGTGGCGCCTTGTGAAAAGAGATGAGGAAATGAGTTGAGTCTCCCTGGTTCGGTCCCTCAAGCCACCTATTATATGGAAGGGCTGGATAGGCACCTACAATGTGACATTTGCTGCTTTTGCAGGATCCAGACTTATCTTCAGTCAACGAAGCCAATTATTGACTTATATGAAAAAATGGGGAAAGTCAAGAAAATAGATGCGTCCAGATCTGTTGATGAAGTAAGTGCCTGTGATGTGTCTTTGAAGAAAAAGTCAAGGAAAAATGTGATTATTTCTTTTGGTATAGACAGGAGAAAAACAAATATAATAGTTTGCTTTTGAAGACATTTGAGACTAAATGAGAAAAATTAGGTTTTTCTCCTTTTTGAATAGGTCTAAAATGGGTTTTATAACTTTAGACTTGTTTTTCATGACATGTGGGTGGTTTATTAATTCCAAACTTCTTTGCCCAAACACTGGAAAACTGGTACTTTGAGTTCTATGATTTGGATCATGTTGTTTTTTTAAAAAAAGATGATGTGACTGTCATCTAGCTCCAGAGCCCCAGGCTACTTTTTCTCTTCTATTATAGAACAAATAGGTTCAGAGGTACAGGGCTCTGTGACTTATCACTTCTTTACCTTCATAAGTCAGTGGGCTCTATAAATGGTGGCTTGAGCTCACAGAGCGTACAGATATTTCTAGTGTCTTTAACACATTCACTACAGGGCTGTAGCTTCAGTGTGACTGTCCATGTGGTGGCTTATACCGTGCATGTGCCACTCATGGTTCCAGCCATGGTTGGGGGTGAGCCTGAGCTGCCTTCCCTGCTTCTCTAAAGCTTCAGATAGAGAGAGAGAGGTCCAGAGGAAGAAGATTCTGTTGAACTTTTGTTTTAAATTCATGGCCAAAGTAAAATAGATGAAACAAAGAAACTATATGATTTTTAAAATGATCTGTTACAAATAATATGAAATATACTGCTAGGAACTTAGCTACATGGTAAGTAATATAGATTCTAGTTCTTATTTTGTTTTTTTCATTTTATTTTGTTGTTGGGAATTGAACAGAAGTCCTCATACATGCTATGTGGTATTTTAACAGTATCTGCTTTTAAAATTATTTTTTCCTTTGCAGGTGTTTGATGATGTTGTGAAGATTTTTGATAAAGAAGGCTAACTCTGAATCTGAAGCGTCCTTGAAATCATGCTTGAATAATGCTTTGATAGCTGCTATCCAATCCCTTTATAAGGCAGTTTTAATCTCTCAAAATTACATCTTAATTAATGGCTAGAAAATACATAGTATGGCATTAAATTTTTTATTTTATTGTTTTGGTCACAGGAGTAGACAATGAATTCAGGTTTAACTTGGTCTTAGTTATTATGGTGCTCACAAAACAAAAATATCAGCTAGTTCTTTGTTTTTATTCAAAAGACTATCCCTTTTATAGTTTGTGTTTTCTGTGAGCAAAACTTTTAGTATGCATGCTATATCCCTTTAGTACAACGTGACAGCTGGGCATAGTGGCCACGTGTGTAATTCCAGTATTCAGGAGGCTGAGGCAGGAGGATTGGTTTCGAGTTCAAGACCAACCTGGGCTACATAGTTTAAGGCCAGCCAAAACTACATAGTAAGACCCAGTCTCAACAAAGCAAAACAAAAAAATGTGATTACAACATGTTAGGATTAGGGATTCCCACTTCCTTTACTTGCAGGTTACAAATTCTAACCTGCTGAATGAATTTGTGGACCAAATTTTCAAGGAACTTTTTGTGTAGTCAGTTCTTACATACGGTGTTTGGTAAACACAGAAAATAGATTACTAGTGACATTTTAATATTTTTCACATAACTGAGCATTTCCTATAGAAAGATAAAGCTTAGGTTACTAGAGGTTTTGCACAGTTGTATGAGAGGCCATAGTCTTTGCTTCCAAGGTTTGGGATGGGTTCACAAGGGATTCCGCGCCTGACAGAATGGTCAGCTTTATTATGGTGTAATCGGAGGGCGCAGGGCAAGGATCACATGTAATGACTGTGTTCCTTCTCTTCTGTTACATGGTGGTGTTTATGATCAAACTGATCAACACAATTTGTAGAAGTAGACCCTTGAAATGCATGTGCTAGGTTTATGCCGAAATGATTCAGTTCTAACATTAATAGCAATTCAGGTTTTTTTTTCTAGTCTAAATAAAGGGTTAGAGTAAAATTACAGAAGGCAATCTAGTGGTTAGATTTCCCATTTGTATTTTATTTTATGGAATTTTTTTTCATAGTTATTTGTTTAAGAAGATTTAAAAATCATTGCACTTTGGTCAGAAAAATAATAAATATATCTTATAATGTTCAATTCTCTTCTGGTACTTTTGTTTAGTAAATTCTTTTTTAGACATGATTAAGCATTGAAAGGCACAAAATATGTAAAAGGCTATGGAGTCTAAATGAATTTTCTATCCTTTAAAAATTTCAGAAATTTATTTTTCCTTTTCTTTTCCTTCTATCACTAATGCTAAGTGGTATACAAGGCTCTTAATGGAAATTTCTTAAATGTTTCTCATTTTCAGCACGTAGTTTGGTATACAGGGTTTCATAAAACATGGAATTTTTGTCTATATAATTAGATTTTATATCTAAAATCTTTGGGGAAAAGATGTGAGGGCCTGGCTGGACCATCTGTCACCTCAGAGGCCACCAGGTTGATTCAGCTGACCCGGCTGGTTGGGGGGGTTCCCTTCCTCACTGCTCCGTGCTGATGGGATAGCTGAGGGCCGTTTCCATGGTCAAGGTGTAGGAGGAGCTGCATTGCCCTGCCAGAACCTGCACAGCTCTGAGAAGGGCTCGGTGTAGCGCAGTGGTGGTGTGTTCATAGGCACAAGCCCCGGTTTGATCTTCACCAAGGAAGAGAAATACTATAAAGTAACTGGGAATAATGAGGCCAAGTTGATGATTCTTATATTGTAACAGAGTCACTTATTTCTGTGCATGTTAGGAAATTTACTTATTGAGGAGACATTTTCTAATGTATTTGCTATTAGGCAAAAAGCATCCTTAGTACTGCAGCATTTTGATCAAAAATGCTAGAATTTGTACTCTATTTATTGCAGTGTCTTTGAAGAGATACTAACACATTTTTATTTAATGCTTCAGGCCAGCCAGTACAGAGGGGGATTTTGGTGGTTTAATCACCTAGCTATAATGAAGCAAGATTGAAGGGTTTTGAGAGCATTCCTACTCACAAAATGAAGAAATCTGTCAAATGGAATCTTAAATATTTATGCTGATAATTGTAAGAGCGCCCTTGTAGTTTTGAACACTTCTGAGACTAGGTGTTTTACTCCCTTTCATCAAATATCTTCCTGTAGCATTTGAGAACAGAAACTAGAAACATGGCAATTAATAATTACAAGGCTTTGCTTTTTATTTGCTTTTAAGTAGAAACACCTGTTAGCAATAGTGAATGTTGAAGTTGACTGAGATACATGTGACTTCATTGGTTTGTTAAAGATAACATTCCATTTATTAAACATAACAGTCACTAAGAAGCTTTTGGGTTTCTTTAAGGACACTAATTTGAGTCTTGGTGTATTTTTTGAATTAATATTATTTCTGTTCAGTGATATTGAATTTGTATAAATTATTTAGCAAAATAATTCCAATAAATTCTGTACTGTGGCCTTTGCTATTTTCTGGTTCAAATTTTTGCTTTTTAAAACACTGAAGATCGGGAGGTTTATATAACATCTGAGTCCTCACACAGTGGTAGTAGAGTTCAGGATCCATGGGGAATTTTCGCTGTCCCTCTGTGCATTTGTTTGGGCATCTTTGGTAAAAAGCATGATGTCCCAGTTAGTCATTATGTCACCGTCCATGAGAAGCCTCAGTTTTTGTCTTTTGGAGGAAGAAATTGATAGGTCAGTCTTAGAATGTGGGCTTTTGTAGACTGGTAGCTTTGTTTTTTATGTTGTTTTGTGCATTACAGGGTGTTCACAGGGCCTTCATACTAAACTACATCCCCAGCCTTTTCAATTTCTATTTTGCGATATTGTCTCCCTTTGTTGTACTCCGCCTCAGCAAGCTTTTGCCTAAGCCTGCACCATCACATCCTGCTGGGCTTGTGACTTTGTTCTTGTAGGTAGCTAAAAGCAGGAACAAAATTTGACTTTCATTTTGTATGTCCTCTGTTACCTTTAACTTCAGGTCAGATTCTTTTTCTGGATGTTGATCACTTGGCAAATGTCTCTAAAAGTTGGTGCAACAAGGTTGATTAGCCCTCGATTTGCATAACCTGTCTGATCCCCTTTCAAGACTGAGGACACCAAGATGAGGTTTGCAGGGACATTCAGCTACCAAGTGCTGGATCTCCAGTCGTTGCTTTAGCCTGTGGTCAACTTGGATTCCAGCAGAGCCTCCGCAGAACAGAGACCATACTGTCCCTTTACGCAGTAAGGATTTCTGCAGTCACCTTGTAGGCACACAGTGGAGAGAATGACTAGCCAGACCCTGAAGGCTGCTCTTGTCCTTTTGCAACAGGCCAGTCTGGTCCTCTTCTTCACATCTGTGCCCCTTTCATCTACTCGAAGAGAAGGTCTTTCCCAACCTTCCCTGGCACTGCTTAGTAAATCTGCCTGTGCCTTCCACTGCAAAGCCTGGAAATTCTCCTGTGATGACGAGTCAAGAAGCTTTTCCACAGAGTGAGTTGATATCCCCATCTCCTCTTTGGGGTGAACTTGACCCCTCCAGTGACATTATAGTATCCCTCTTAACACCTCCACACTTTGGTTCCCAAACACACTGTATTGTCTTCTCTACCCTGGAATCAAGCAGCATGCATGGCATCTGTCTTCATTTGGTCACATAGCACATTTATAAAGGAAAACAGTTTTAAAAGCTATGTATGCTAGCTTTCAACAGTTCTTACACTACTGAAGACTTCCTGAAAGGAATATACTCAGTAGCTTATATAAAGTTGAGGGAGTAGTGCTTGCTTCAGCAACATGTGTAGTAAAATTGAAGTTGGGAAAGTAAATGGTTCATGGACTCAATCTGAACTTCCAAGAAAACCCCTGCATTAAATGAATTCCCTAGCCAGTTGCTAAGCACTAGTGGCCCTTTGAGGACTCTGGGCTGAACTAGCCTTTTCATAGCTGCCGGACCCCAAGGGTTACAGAGCCAGAGTGAGAAACATCAGGTAGGTGCAGCAGCTAGCACTCAACAGCACAGAGAGGTGCCTCACATACCCTACAGAGTGTATTTATAAGTGACTCCAAAGTAGCTGCCAGAACTTGGTCAGTTGATTATCTAGTAGTGGTAAAGCTGCATCAAAACTGCCTCATCATAAGAAGCTTTAAAAATTTTTTTAAATTAATTTGGTACAGGGTCTTGCTATGGAGCTCAGACTCAGTGATCTTTCTGTCTTAGACTCCCCAGTGCTGGGATTATAGCCGTGAGCCACCATGCCCAGTTTGGGTGGCTAGTAGCATGCGTCAAGGTTCTGGGCTGCCATGGCATGTGATACTGGGGATCAAGCCTGGGTCCTTTCACTTGCTAGGCAGGTGCTCAGACCACTGAGCTATCTTCCCCAGCCCCAACATCAGGCTTTTTGCCCTTCATTTACCTGCTGCAGATTCAGTGGAGTGGTACACACCTGTACTCAGCACTCTGGGAAGCTGAGGCAAGGAAGATCAAAAGTTCAGGCTCAGCCTGAGCAACTTAGCAAGACCCTGTCTCAAAATATAAATAGGGTTAGGGAGATAGCTCAGTGGCTTAAGCACCTGCCTGGCAAGTGCAAGGTCCTGAGTTCGATCCCTGGTACCATAAAAAAACAAATAGATAAATAGATGTATTATAGATATGATAATGATAGTGAAGATAGATAGATTAGATAGATAGGCAGGCAGACAGGCTGGCTAGGGATGTAGCTCACTGTTAAGGCCCTGGGTTTTATCCCTGGTACTGGGAAAATAAAAATTATCAGGTGTATAATAGGCCATGTCTTCCTATCAACTTGGATAATGAAGATGGATACAATTTGGTAGCAAAAAATGTTCAAGTTTTAATTGGCTTAGATTGGGTGAACATATTCCCAAATTAAAGTAACAAAACAGCTATATGGGTGAACATATTCCCAAATTAAGATAATTAAAACAGCTATATCCTGCCCGACACAATGGTGCATGCCAGCATGAATAGAATCCCCAGCTCAGTGGGGGCTGAGGCTGGGTGGTTGCAGGGTGGAGTACAGTCTGGACATCTTTCTAAATGCAAAAAGGGCTGGAGGTAGAGCTCCGATAGAGTGCCTGCCTAGCCTGTGAAGCCTTAGGTGAGATGGGGCAGGTGCTGCATCAGCCAGACAGGAAAGGGGGAGGAGGGAATGGGGACATCAGTACATGAGATCCCTTTGGTCTCTGTGTAGTGCTTAGAATGCCCAAGTCATATACAACATCAAACATGTCTAAGGAGAGACTATGGTTTTATTCCTTCCCCTTTATTTGGATCTGGACAAGTGCTTGTTTGGGAAAATAAGGCGAC